CTTGTTGTCCGCAGATTGAACCGAGCATAAAGGCACTGTGCTCTGGAGTTATGGAGAAGGGACAAATTAATGTCAGCTACTGAAAAGGATGAAGTAGCCACCTTGGCTTTGCAAACCAGACACAACACGTCAGAAAAATAGACAGCCGTGGGTAAGCACTGGTGCAGAGTGTAGGCTGCCCCACGGTTCTGACATGAGACGATGCCAAGTGAGCACAGAGGGACAAACTGCTCCCTGTAGTGTCTCTGCATTCTGACAACATACACCTGTTGCAAGGAAGGGTGAGGGGAAGTCATCATACCTTGAGATGCATAGAGATCTACAGCAGAAACAGGCTTAATGTAATGATGTTTATTGCTATAGGATTTTGCTCTTAATCTCCCTGACTTGACAGGAGAAGCAATCTCACGCTGTTTTAGTTGGGGCTGTCTAGATGCTGTCAGCAAACTGTTGGAAGTTCTTGCAATTGAGGGAAAAGCAGCTTGCTTTGCAGAAGAGCTGGCATTTCAGAATTTTTTAAAAACAAATTTGGGCATCAACCAAGTCTTTAAAACCTGGCACTGATAAAGATTTTGTAATAAAGAATGACTGCTTTTCCCTCTGACTGCAGAAAAGTAAAGAAGATCTCTCCCCTACTAGAGTGCTGAAAGCAGCCACAAGCTGAACCTATGATTTTGTCCATACTTTTAAACAAGAAAAAAAATTCAAAAATGCAAAGTGTTGGTAAATACATTTATAAATATATATATATATAAATTTGCAACACTTTCTACTACTCACCATTAAATATAACAACAAATAATGTACAGATCTCTGAGACTGTATTGCTGAATCATCTTAGCAGGGTAGTGCCTTCTTGTCACCTTTATGGGGTTTTTTTTATCCTATTTGTTACCCCTCTTCATTGTGCTGTATATCCAGCTGCAAGATCTCCACTATATTGACTACACCTGGCACTTACCAGCCTTAGCATGCCTGAGGACCTCTGTAAATGCCAAAGAGGAGTGTATTGATATCTTTCTTGCAGTTTATTTTGTTGGTGACAAGTATGGTAGGTTTTATTATATATATGTAACTTATATTATCTTATAACCACTATATATTACTTGCTTGTTACGAAACACTTGAATAGTACCACCGTGAACACATAAATGTGGCTGGACTCTTTTATACGTTCCCAAGTGCAGAAATTGCATAGCTGTGTGCTATGTATGTATGCTGTTTTTTTAATTTACTGCATTTTCACTTAGTATCACTAGTCTTGACATACTGCAAAAAGGAAAACTGAGGCAGGAGGTTTGGGAACTGTTTAATCTCGCAGATTGAAAACAAACAAAACACAAAACCAAATCCTAAATAGCACATCAGATACTGTACTGAACAATAGACTAATAAATTCCAACATTGCATATGCTATATAGTAAAAGTTAACAATCCTTACTGTTTAGATTAAGTGTCTTCTCTTGCAAAGCACATCCTAAAGGACTCAGTGACAGTATTTCACTGCAATATGTGGTTTTATTGCAGCGGTGAAATACAGAGCCATAGAGCTCTAATACAGAATCAAAACTGAAAAAAAAATGCTTGTCCATTCTCCAGTACAAGCCAGTGAGGGAAATGAAACAAGAATCTCAGTAAGTCCCAAGCTCTGTTTTATCATGGCAAATCACTCAAAGTATACCCACCTTCTAACTTATTAATAACAAATTGTTATGGTTAATACTGAATTTGTGCATCTAACGATTTTGAAACTTTCGAAAAAAAAAAGCATTCATCCTCTGGAAGAAAAACACCATTTTTCTCAAGAGATTGTGATGTTATTCATGTGAGTTAGAGAGAAAGAAAGTGCAATTTCCATTTCTTCTCTTACAAAACCCTGAAAACAGAACATTTTCCCCCCTTCTCCAGTATTCAGTTGGTCTTACTAGCTCCTGACTTAGCTTATATAAGAAAATAAGAAAAAAAAGTGAAGGGCTGACAAAAAAAGGCAAATGCACATATACTTCCTATGTTATGACCTGCCTCTCAGAATAAATTGGTGTTATATCCTCAGGGAGGACCTAGGCCATTTTCATCCCATAATCATTAGCAGCCTCACAAAGTGAACGCAAGCCACAGCTTTGGGCATTCTGCTACACTCTTTGCAGAGAAATGATACATGACACAAGACAGCTTACTGTAGTAAGTACAAGCTGGTGAGAATAGCCACCACATGGCTTCCACATGTCTTTTCTTCATGTGAGCACAGCTTGCTTTTAGTAAGAATCAAACATGCCCAGATAACTCTTTCTTGGACAGAACCAAGAGCAGGTTTTTTTACATCTGTGGCAAGAACCAGGCAGGTGAGCAGGCGCAATCAGACCTTCGAGGGCTGATGTGCAGAACCAATAGTGGCATGCAGCACAGCAAATAGTGACCTGACACCAAGGGTGGATATACACAGGGGTGAGCTCTTACCAAGAGCTGCAGCCACACTGAATGGGAGGTAAACCTGACTATGGTTCTTGTTAGGAAATGCTTTGGGAATGTGAAGGTATAGAGCAAAGTAGGTGAAATATGGAAGAGATGTCGGGTGAAGTATAGATGAGATGTCAAATCATCCTAGGAATGCTCTGATTGCCTAGAGGACAACGGCTGTCATGTATATGGAGAAATATTAAGACTTTCCCCCAGGAAAAACACAACAGGAAGGCTGTCTGCTGACAACACAGTTCTACCACCAGGTCAGTGGAATCATGAAATGAATGCAGGAAGCAAGGAAGAAGGAAGAGCAGTCATAGCACACAAAATTCAAGCATTCAGGAATGGGGAGAGCTGCCTGTCAGAAGAGATTCAGACCCACCACGGCTGCCACAGTTGCTTAACCAGGAAATAAGGTCCCACCTCTGCTTCAGTGCTTTGGGGTATTAAAATGACATTTTTTTTTTTTCTTCAAGATGGCGATTCGCAGATATCACAGCTTCTTCATCCTTTCTTGTCCTCCCTCAGTTTGCCTTTTAGTCCATGTTACAGCTGGCCACCTGCTCTGATTCTGGTGCTAGAGGATGTGTGGTATAATGGGCTCTGGAGCAAGTAAAATTTGCTGCAATGCTATGCCTCCAAACAAAAGGCCATTTTGGAAGTAGTCACACAAATAGGGAATTGCAAATTACCTGGGACTGGTAGCTGTCTCAGCATGACTAGGAAAAGCCCTTTGAGGACTTCAGGTGTTGGCCTAAGTGACAGAGAGCAAGTAACACTAGCTCTTCCTCCATCTAAAACTTTCAGGGCATGAATCAGAACTAAGAAATCGGCTAGAAGTCCTGGTTCTCTCTTTCTGTGATCTTCTGCCAACTCACTGGAGAACTCAGGGATAAAAAAGATAATATTTCATGTAAGCTTGTGTGTCTTTTTACCACAAACACCTTCTGTTCTGGCCTATACCGTTGCTTTCACAGCTGGAAAGAGAATACTTCTTACCTTCAAAACAAAAAGAAATGGCTGGACTCTCTTCAGTGTATTTTGGGGAACTTCAGGAACCCACACGAAACTGAGATGCTCTCTATCACACCTCTGGCACTGCTCCCTGGGTGTCATTGCAAATTAAGCTGCAACAGCTACATTTATAATTCTTTGCTGAATATAATGCAACAAAGGTAAACCTGCAGAAGACCTCTGACTTTGAAAGCAATTAATGGAGATATCTTGGTCATGAAATCATGTGTTACTTCAGGGCTGGCTTGAGGCATTGGCCATTAAGGTGCCCGTGTCAGGTTCTGAATGTTGAAGTGTCCCTCAAAGACACTTCTTCCTTTCTGTTGCCTGCCTGAAAGGCTGCATCTCTGAAAGGAAAACATGTTAGAACAGGTCCAGAACTCAGATTTCACATCAGGCTCAGACCCCATGTAGTGAGTAGACACAGGATGTAGGGAATGGGAAGTGTAAGACCCTGTAAAATATTCTGTTATGAAAAAATTCCCATAGTGATCTTCCATCAGAGCTGCTGATCCCTCTAGGAACCTGAGTGACCAGCATGTAACTTCAGACTAGCTTCTTCCTATTTGCTGTTCTGATATATAGCCTAATACCTTAGTTTGCCTTCCTCTATCATGCAGGACGCAGTGGCCAAAAAAGAGTTTTCGTGTGTGTGTGTGTGTGTGCGTATTTATATATATTTTTAATATAAATATATATGTATGTATATGCTTATATATACATATGCATATATTTAGTGGAGGCCTCACCACAGGCTGCCCAGAGAGGTTGTGGAGTCTTCTTCTTTGGAGATCTCTAAAACTCGCTTGGATGCAGCCCTGTGCCATGTGCTTTAGGTGACCCTGTGTGTGCAGGGGATTTGGACTAAATGATCTCTGGAGGTCCCTTCCAACCTTAAGTGTTCTATGATTCCATGATTCACCAAAGGTTTTCCTGGTATACCTCAAAGCAATATTGTTGAATGCTAACTCTCGCAATTCTACATACTACTTTCCTAGCTGGAAAAATATCCTACACGGAGATATTTCTCTGTTGCCTCATGGCAGTATTCACACCATTTTGCTGGGTTTAATAGTGGTCAGGAATCTATCTTTCCTCTGCAAGTCTGGAATTAAAAACTTGACACCTTCATGACTGCATGTTGGGGCATAGAGGTAGTAGCCAGCTATATGTGTGTATATATGTATATATATATATATATATATATATATATATATATATATATATATATATACCTTTTCTCTGAGAGTTTCATAACCTCCTACATCAGTGAGTAACCATGAATCAGCACAACCCAACACTGTCTCCTGACTGCCATCAAGGCAGCTCCTTTCAACAGCTATACATAAGGTCAGTATTTAAGCTTGAAGGTTATAGAAGTAAAATTGAGAAGATATTTGTAGACAGTGCCAGCAGGAAAGAGATGAAAATATATTTGCTCTATTAGAGTTGCCCATCCAGAGTAAAACAAAGATCCTAAGTAGACTTTTTTTTGTTAACATTTTGCACTTTCATATCTTTTCCAGAACTAAAGGATCTGTGGTATCCAAAAACAAGAGGAACATATGTTGAAATAACATTTCTGAATCATAAATGTTCATTCATCTCCCTAAGACTTTCACTCTGAATTCACTCTGAAGCTTCACTGTGACCACCTGAATGTCAACATTGTTAAATACTTTGTGGCCAGTTGAAACACACATTCAAGAATGGAATGGAAAACTTCAAGGAAGTTTTCCTAACAATCTTCGTTACTGATAGCTGTAGGTGCATTTATGAATGGTCAATACTGCCTGAGCCAGATTTTATTTTAGTGGTAATGAGCAAGCACAAGATAAACAAAACAAAAGCAAAACAAATAAACAAAAAAAAAAAAAAAAAAACCTGTTGTTTCTTGAATTTTATGGGTCTGGAAAAATACTCTCTCGCAGACTGATTTCCTGTGAGATTCTGACATATTTTCCACTCTCTGAAGATGAACACTCATGTTATGATATATGTGATGGGCTTATGCTTGTCTATTCACGTAATTGTGTGATTGTTAATGTAATTTACCTCTGAGTTAATCTTTTGCTTCTTCCTGGGA